AATCAATAAATATCTACTCAAATTAAGTAATTAATATTTTATTTGAAAGCTCTCAATTACTATTTTTTTTTTACAAATAAAAGCATAAATAAAAAAAAATCCTTTTTTATTGAGTTATTAAATAAAAGTAAAATATTTTGTAATATAGATTATATATTAAAAAAAATTTTTATATGATAAATATATTAAGTAATTTATCATAAAAATTTATAAAACTTATCAAAAAAAAACTCTTTTCCATTCACCACACTTTCCTTAAAAATTTTTTTTTTAGGAAATACTCTTTTTCAAAATGAAAGAAAAAGAAGTTTCTTCAATGGAACACACTTCAATATCCCTAGGTTAGCAATACAACACTGTACTTTCTCTAGGGATATAGCTCCTGCTAGTAAAGAAGTTATAAAGGTCAAAAACAGCTCCCTTTATCTTCAAAAAGATGCCTTGGATGACAAGCTGAAAGTATTATTAGGATTATATGTTGGCTCCTTAATAACCAAAGAAATCAGGTGATATTTTTCATATAGCTAGAAGATATAGGCTAACAAATAACAACTCAATAAAGAAACCACATTTATCTAAACAGATAACACATTACAAATACCAAACATTCTCTACTTCTTTCTATGAACCTTAACTATGGTGCAGTATTTTATTCTTTTGTGTTGGGGGTATAATATTTTGCGATTGAACTTCATCTGACTATAATGGATAGCAACAGTGGCATACCACTTGAATCAGGTAGCAAATGGCCAATCCTAGTTGAAGATTTTTCAGATAGTACAAAGATTTGCAAGAAGGCGTAAGGAGTATAGGTAGATCTCACACATTTATAGAACACAACAATCACATACAAATAGGTTTTGGTAGTTTTTCCTTTGTATATATAACCAAAAAAGATTTTTTTTTTATCTAGTTAGAGCCAATGGATTTTTTTATTGGATATAATTAGACTGCAGCTAACTGTATTTAAATATGGTTTTTTAAGATTCTATTTATTAGATGGTAGATAGAACTTAAAGGCATATATCTAGATATGTTAGTACTTCATCAATCTTATTAGGATTAATGCTTGCATTGGTGTTAGTAAGATTAGATGAATAAGAGGTAACAAGTCGGCTAATAGACATTAGTCTTAGGTAGTTTAGCAAATAGCTAATAGGAAAAATTTGTAATTATAAATCTAATATTACAAAAAAATATTTAATAAACAAGATGTATACCAGTTGTATTAAAAAAAAAAAAAAATTTATAAAACTTATTTCTTTTAGGTTTATATATATAATCCTAACTTTTATAAAAATTTTATATATTTTAGACTATTAAAAACATTTAATTATAACTGAGATTTTATTTATATATAAGAAACTATTAGGATTTTAAAATTATTTGTTATTAATAAAAAACTCTTTCCCACTCTCCCTTCTGCACTTGAAAATTTCCTTTTTAGGAAATTTTTTGAGTTGTTTATTTTTTTTTCTTCGTCTCTCTCCTTCCCCTTCCCTTTTCTTGGTTACAAACCTTTTATTCCCTTCTTCTTTTTCTCTCCCCTCCTTTCTATCTCTTCCTTTTTATATCTTTTCCTTTCCCCCTCCTCTTTTCCCTTCTTTCCTGTCAAAGTTAGGTTTTTCCTTCTTTCTGAAGTTTTTCCTCTCTAGGCCTCTCCCTCCTTTCAAGAATTCCGTGTCCCATCTCATCACTCCTCTGGCCAGTCGACTCCATTTTCTTAAGGAAAAAATAAGAAGTGGTAACCTTTTCCAAGAAGTGGACTTTGACAAGTTTTTCTTTTCCATGTTTTTTCTCAGAAAAAGGATGAATGGTTTACCCTCTCCAAAAGATCGGCATGACCATCATTACCAAATCCAGCATTGTTTACTTGTTAACGGCTAGACTAGATATGTCTAAAAAACTGATGCATACTATTATTGACTGAATCTCTAGGTGCTGTGCCTTATAGGAATCTAGTAGGACAATACATAAAGACCAGAGATTCTAGTTATCCCTACAAACAGAGCTGGTGACGTCAATCGCTTACTCCTTAACAATGCAGATCTCATGTGCAAGGTTAGGTAACAATGTCTATAAAAAAACCATATCCAACTCTATCCACTGAACACTTCCGCTACACTTGAAAAGTGGATATGCCAAATCCTTTTTGTGACTTGGAGGCCAATCTGTATAAAGTGGTTGCAGCACCTTTATGCATCAAGGTAACCAATTATGAATCAAATCTAGCAGTAATGCCATTACTGACTCCTCTTGCTGTACATCAAGCCATATTTGGAAAGCAAAGGTGCTAATCCTACTTATAACTTGGAGGCTAACCTGTGAAAATTTGACTACAGCACCTTCATGTGTTTAGGTAATCAAACTATCTCTAGAAAACTAGATGCCACTCAAGACACTTTATATAGGTTTTGAATTTCATTTTACTATATGTCTTGGGGATACCCAGAGCATAGATAGAGAGCCATTTGAGCCTGGCGTTTAACTCTATTAAGTTTAGAGAGACATATGTATATTTTTTTTTGTAAATTGTAATTATTATAAAATTATAATAAATAAACTAAAAGGATCATTATTATGCTCTTTAAAAAAAAAAAATTATTTGTTATTAATATTTTAATAACTAGTAATTTAATTTAAATAAAATATACTGTATATTATTTAAAAGCTCTTTATAAGAAAAATTCAATATGGTGGCTATCATTTATAAACCACACAAAAATTAATTGACTTTTAAACTTTATAAGTTAAGAACAAATAAATTTATTGTAAATCTAAACTGATAAAATGATAAATTAAAACAAATTGAACATTTTTATCGATGTATTTTTATAAAATATTATGTAAAATTTTAAGTTATTAAGATTTAAAATTCAATAAATTCTTATATAATATATATATATAAACCAAATTTCGGACTAAAGATCAATATTTTTATATAAAATTAAAATAATAATTATTATTTATTTTATTTTTTTGAATATATAGTTATATAATTTATTATAAAAATCATATAGTGATCTGAAATTTCGGACTGTGTAGTTTATAGATAATAGCCACCATAGTAAAATTTTTACTTAAATTAAATTACTGGTTATAAAGATATTAATTATAAATTATTAAAATTATATATAATATCTTATATATATATATATTTTTTTTTTTATTCGCCGTTAGCTCAAGATCCCTAATCGTCAACTCTAAGTGTCTCCTGGTATTTCTCTGGGGTACATGAATAATTTTTTATAGATTCTAAATACTCATCTTAGGCCTAAGCCTCTAAGTATAGACTTTGGAAGTGAGTAGGTTACTATATCAAGATCAGCAGACTGTGCTAGCTGCTTTGACAATCCTAGCCTGTAGTTATCACTACAGTATTTCAACCATTCAGTTTAGCCAAGATTTTCTAGGATTTAGTCAGTGAGATATCATTGACGAAATAAGGGTACACTAGTACATCAAATTCGTCTGGGAATTAGATTCAATCTTACACTTCCTAATTTGATCTAGTAACACATGTGGAAGGTTATGTTTTATGGGTCATGCAATCAACCATCACAAGTATATCCCTTAGGATAGAACATCCCATAATATAAGTAACCTCCTGTACCCCGACTGGATCCTCATTACCATTGAATATGTAAAACTCTTACTAATAATTATGCGACTAATGGTTTTAGTTGTCTATACTTTTCTTTCCACTACCAGAAAGATTTTATGAAACTTCTTTCCCCTTTTGAAGATATTTTCTGGGCAATACTTAATCAGAAAGTTTATTAATCAGATCATCTATCTTTTCGACCTATGGGGTATAGTCTACTCATAAGGCTCCTTGATCGTCAGAACAATTCAAATCACTTTCTATCACGAGTTACAGGAGCAGTGACACAAAGTCCCTATTTGGGATATATGAATTGTCCCCAACTGGAGTTGAACCATGAATTATAGGTTAGCCCTATTCTGCCTTAACTCACTGAACTATGACCGGGTAGGTCTTATATATAATATCTTATATTTTTAATTGTTTATAATTGATATCTCTATAACAAGTAATTTAATTTGAATAAAAATTATATTATTAGATTTTTTTTATTGAGAGCTTTCAAATGATAAAATTTTTGTTTAAATTGAATTATTAGTTATAAAGATATCAATTGGAAACAATTAAAAATATAATATATACTGTATATAATTTTTATAGATTAAATTTATTAACCAATCAAAAATTGCGTCACAATTGCGTTATTGCATTACATTTGCATCATTGCATCACAATTGTGTCCTTGTATCACATTGCAGCATAATTGTGACAAATCATATGACTGCATCATAATTAAAAATAATTATATCAAAATTAAATAATTGTATTATATTAAAATAATTGTGTCAAATTATATAATTGTAGCATAATTGTGACAAAATCATATAATTGTATCATATTAAAATAATTGTGGCATTGTGTCATAATTGCATCAATTGCATCAATTATAAAAAAAACCATTTAACTTAATTACTAAATTCTTGATTTTTAATTGTATCTGATTCATTCAATAATTTTTATCACATATATAATATAAACATTAGTTCTTAACAAGAATTAAATTTATAGATATGAATAGCATTTTATTCTTTTTAATTTGAACTTGAAGGTTTTGCATTTTAGTTCAGATGTTTTGAGTATTGCTTATTTTTAACTAGTTTCTAATATTATATCAATAAAAAAATAAAATCATAATATCAAAATAATTATAAAAGTCATAAATATAACTATTGTTATTTGAATTGTCAATGTAATAAGTGTTACTGAAAAAGAGTTGACACACTTCCTTATATATTATTTTTTTTTATTTGTAGATATTATTTTATTAGTACTATTATTGTGACAAGAGTATTAGATATGACTTAATAATATATATATATGTATTTCACTAAGCAGATTCTAAATTATTTATATATCAAAAGTTAGAGAATTTTTTTGACATCAGCTTTGAATCAAAATGGGATTTCTTGGAATGCAAAATGGATATGGTTATCATTCATTTTTTGAAAATGAATATATTTTTGTGACACATATGGCATTACTAATTGTTGTATATCAGAGTTATTTTATGATCAATAATATATTTAAAGGACTGATCTGATTTATATTAATAAATAGTCTATTCAATCTGGTTACAATACCAAATCTCTTGCAACAAGAATTATAGCAAAGTTGCCTAGCAAAGTCAAAACTATATATAATTGAATGTGTTATATAGGGGTTTTATGTTTTGAAATAGTTGATGAATAAGTTGTAAAGATAATAAGTATATAGCAATATATATCTGAACAATGCAAGGATAAGATTAACTAAAAAAAGAAACAAATAAAATGTTGATCTTATTACAAAAGAGTATATGTTTTAAGGTAAATACCTATTCTAATTCAGTTATAGCAAATTGATATTTCTTTAATTTCATTTTTAGTTTAATCTTTCTTGATAAATTTACTAAAATTGGAATGACTGACTGAAGGCTGACCAAGCCATATTGGTCAGGCTAGCCAGTAAATTTATATCAGCCTATATCACTACTTTCTTTTTCTTTAGAAAATATTAATCTTGATTTTAATTTTTTTTTTAATATATTATTTAGAAAAATAAAAAAAAACAATTTATAATGAATTAAAATCACAAAATTCAAATTTAAGATTAAGTTTTAGTAAATTTTATAAACTTTATCTTAAAAATTTTAAAAAAGTATAAAAAAAAACTAATATGTGTTTAATTTGTATTGAAAGAGAAAAATTTAAAAAAAAAAATTACGTATAACAAATCAATTTAAATAATACTTTTCTTATTATTCATTTGCAAAATGAAATTAATTTTTATAATAAACATTTATATTTTAAAAATCAATAACAAAAACTTTATAAAAATTCTTTTGAATTAGTAACTACAATATCTTGTGTTGTAGTTATGGACTTTAAAGATTTTTATGAAAAATCACAAATTTTTTTATTAAAATTTGTAATTTTTTATAAAGATAATAATAATATAATTCAAATATAATATTTTAATTTTTTTTTAAAAATTTTAAATCATAATTCATTATTTATTATTAATTGTATTAAAAAACTTCTTTTTAAATCTTTTATGGCACAATTTGATAAAATTTTATTTTTGGTCTGATTCTAAATCACATTTTCATTTAGCAGAATTAATATATTTTATTTTTAATTATTTATTATCAATTTATAACAAAAAATTTTTCCTTAATTATTTTGTTAAATATCATGATAAAAATATTGTTGATAGCTATTTTGATATATTGTCAAGATAGTTTAAGAAAGATAAATCAATACAATATATTTATACTATTGAAAAATCAATTAATTATTTTAAAAACAAAATACAAAATTATAATAATTATTATTTTTTTTTTTTGGACTAAGTGCGATACACGCGAGACTTTAAAATTATAATAATTATACTTTTGAAATTTATTTATATACTAAATCAAAAAAAATTATCAATAAATTAATAATAAATAATTTTTATTCATATTTATTATTTACAAAATTTAATAATAAATTATATATTTTTATACTTAATACATTTAATATTATTAATTATAAGGAAATATTATTTATAATTAAAAAAATAAAATATATAAGAAAAACAAAATATATTATATCCAAAGAAAAAACAAATAATATTTTAGAAGATAGAAATAAAACAAAGATTATTAATTAAAACAGAAAACACATCTAATTATTCTATTTCAATGGAATTTTAAATTCTTTTTTGGACATATGCTTAAAATTAATTTTTTAAAAAAATCTTATTTTATATAATATCTTTTTTAATTTTTTAAAAAAATCCTATTTTATATAATATCTTTTTTCAAGTTTAATTACAAACTCTTTTCCATATATCTGAAGTACAGTAAATATCCAGATAAAGGAAAAGATATCAAGCAACAATAGAGGTCCAAAAGCCTTAACTAGCAATCCAAATCCCATTGAAAAATAGCTTAGATATAACAAGTAAATTAGAGAACCAATCACAATTAGGACCCAACCATATATTAAGAAACCCATAGCACTTCCAATACAAATAACAACAAAAAACCTGATACAAAATATATTGAACAGAGCAAATTAAAACATCCTATCTAAAGAAACAACAAATCAAATATATAATAAGGACACCTTAACACCTGTGATTTAAGAAGAAGAATATACTTCATGGGAAAAAGAAATAGAAAAAGAAATAAATAAGCAAGAAGCAATCAAAACAACAAATATTATGGAACTGCAAAAAGCAAGACCTGAGAGTAAGAGGTAACAACAAGCAGTAGGACCACCTGGCTATATCAGAATAGATAATAGTGATAAGGAGATGCTTTCTAAAGTGAAATTTAACCAAGAGAGAACCATAGAGCAAAAATAATTTACAATAGATAAGAAAAGCAAACAAATCAGATCTTCAATTAAATCAAGATCCAAATCTTTATTAATAAAGCTACAAGATACAGGAAAGAAAGATACAAAATAGGTATTGATATCAAGCTAGTTAAGGAAAAAACCATTAACCAGAAAATTGAACATATTATCTTTGCTCTGGACTTACCTAAAGGACTTCTTACAGTTTGTAGTGAAAAAAAAAATGAAGAAATGAAAACTATTGTTATCTTTGGAAAATAACAAGCAGCTGAATATATAATCACAATTATATTTCCAGATATAGAAGATCATAAATTAGCATATATGGAAATTAGACATTAAGAAACCAACAAAGAAAACTCCATAGTTATATAAAACATTTCCTTAAACACAAAACTTATTGAAATAAAACAAGTGTTTTTCAAATATGAAGAAATCCAAGAAATTATTATGAGTATCCAAAACCTATAGCAATATGTCACAATAATCTTTATCAACAAATCAGTCAAAGACAAACTAATTAATCAAAAGAGTATTTTAATTAGGAGAGATTTAGTTAGAATCAATGATACAGAATAGTTATTAAATCAAATAAGAGTAAGACATGAGATTACAACCAAACTAATTAACTTATTTCCAAACATATCAGTATAAAATCTCAAAAATATTTTCATGTAATACAAAAAACAAACATGTTATATTTCTAGAGCAGTAACAACAATATATAAACCTAGAAGATTCATAATTATAAGCTTTGCAATTCAAGAAGACATTTTGAAAGCAATATAAGATACATATATCTTTAAAGAAACAGAACTTATTTTTATATCAATTATAACCAAGCTCTATACAATTTGTAACTTTAAGAACCATATTATCAAAGATTTTCCAATCAAGCTTTGCCACCAATAATGGTAGAAATATCAACAAAAATAATTATTCAAATTCGAAACACTATACAATAAATTCAAACTTACCAAAATAGACACAATTTATAATATCAACAGACCAAGATCAGATGGGTAAAGCAGAGCAGGATCCTATATATCTGCAGTTAAAGATATGTTCCTAAATTATTTAGTATATAAAATTTCATAGATCAATTATGTCTCTTTTAAAGGGACATAATTATTTATTCATTATTTTAATAGGAATATAATTTAAAAAACATTTGAATCAAGTGGCTTAAATTGCAAAAAACCTTTATAAATAGTTTTTTTTTTAATCTTATATTTAAAAAAAAACTTTTTTAATAGTGAGGAACATTTGAATTATATCTTTACTTTTAATTTAGGGACCTATTTTTATCTGCAGTAAAAATCCAAACACAAAAAAGAAAAGAAAACCCACAATCCTTAATAGAAATCACAAATCTCCTAAGACAAATCCAAAGAAACCTAGGAGAGGTAAAGGAAAAAATTACAGAATTAGATGAATACATCACAAATCTCAAGTTTCACAATGAAGAATATTATGAATCTATAGAAAGTAAACAGATTAATAAAGAAAAGATTGAAACAATCAATTAACAACAACCTCAAGAAACACAAAAAAACAATATAAATAACATCAAAAGTCATCAAATACAACAGTTTGTCTCTCTAGATGAAATACAAAACAGTATGCATCAGATTATAACAACAATAGATACCTTTGTTAGAATCACAATCCAATCATACAAATTAAATAAAAAATACAATTAATAATATCTCTTTAGCTCAAGAAAACAATTCAAAAAATGACACAAATACTACAATACTAAATTTAAGTACAGATGAACAACTCAACAACACTTTTTCATAATTAAACTTAGAAACATTACAAGAAGATATAACAATAACACAGAAAGAAAATCAACTAAACATATATCAAACCATACAAAACACAAGAAACCAAATAATAGTACTAGTAACATTAGAGAACATTAACAACAATATAACAGATTCACTTGAACAATAATCAACCAGTACACAGCACAAATGGCATATAGTAATATACAATACAAGAGGATTTAACAACCTTCTCAAAAAAGCATTATGGCAAAAATATTGTATAGACAACAAGATGAAGATAGCTGTAATTACAAAAACACAAATTACAAATGATTTCAGCAAGTACTGAAAAGTTTCAAGCTATCAAAGCTTTATATCAGAAGATAATAAAGAAGCAGAAATTATTATCATACTCAAAACAGAAATTGCACAATATATAATTAATATAGACAAGTTTTAGAGAAGAGATATTTATATAAACCTATACTATAAAAACAACAACAAAGTTAGTATCATTGAAATATATGTTTCAGTATCTCTCGACAATAACTACAAACAATTTTTAAGTTGGACAAACCAAAAAAATCTGAAAAAAAAACAATAAAGACTTCTTCATTATTATATTAGAAGACTTTAATGAATTAGTAAACCCAAAACTTAACAAACTTTACTACTCAAAAACCAACTGCAAAACATGACTTATGAACTCAATTCTCTATATATTCATACAACTGGATCATATAAACATATATAAATTTTATCACCTATCTAAAAAAATATATATATGGCAAAATAATAATAAAGCTGTAACACAAATTGACTATATCTGACTATCTCCAAATCCAAACTGATTCACATTGAAGGCACACATTATACTATTAGAGTTTATTTTCAATAGTAATCATAACATCACTATATATACAATATACATATCTATAGGAGATGATTAAATAATATCATATAACATATTTCTTAAAACAAATGCATTCAATATCAAAGTGACAAAGGCAAATCAATAGAAGTTTTTTAAAAAGAATCTGGACAAGAA